AGTACATTTCACCCATCTCAGGAGCACATTCATCCTTTCCTGCACAACGCAAGAGTTCATTAGGAGTGTTTTTCCTGGCTGGATATGCCAGTTAAGGAGACATTTATACACATGGCATTGTTGGCTTGTGTTTCGAGTCCAGACCCTGCTGATGGGATGGTTTCTGATGTCAGGAGACCTTCCACCCTGCAGGAAGTATTTCTGTGAGGGTGTGCAATCATCTTTGACAGTCCCTGCCAACAGCAGGAGTGCAGGGATATTACTGATGCTGTTATATTTTATTTTCCCCAAACAGTTGCGAAGTAGCTCTCATCCTCTTTAACTCTAATGCCAGTAGTTCATTGAACAGCCTGCTCCTCATTCAGTTAGCTCACAATTCCTCAAAGTGTTTGGTTAAATTTATACAACATTGGGCATTATATTAATGATGTTGCTTTAACTGGTACCTTTTGGACTTTTTATTCAGAAAACTCACCTGACAGTAATCCTGGTTAAGTAAAATGAGTGCAACTGAAACAAAAGTTTGTGAAATAAGGTGGACAAACAGCTGGAGGAGCACCTTGAGGAAAAATAAATCCTGAACAACTGGAGGTAAATTATACAAGCCTCTCGCATGGCTGCTCCAGCTCCAGAACTGCTGCCTCTCCATCATCCAGAGGCGTATACAGTCAAAGTATATTTTGCATAACTCTGCGGGCATACACCGAGAATAACAGAATGGTTTTACTCTTAGTTATTCAGCTACCATTAGGGGTTAAGGTCCTAAATTTCAACTTTGACACTGTTTTAAACAGGGCAGGGAAGTTGTTTCACATGGAATTCTTCATTTCACCATTTGTATTTCTAAATACATATAATATAGTGTGTGTGTGTACTTAGAATAAAAAGGGGTCAGTAACTGTACTGAATACTAAAGGCAGGAAGTGTGTACAGTCTTATCTACAGCACCTGTATGTGTTAGCACTGTATCTATTTATCATTTCTATTTCAGGGGTACCTAGGGGCCTCTATCTGTTGTCATCATTTTTACATGAGCACTCACTATTCTTTCTCCAGATCACTGTTTTCTGTACATTGAACAAGATAGATTGTAATTGAGGCAGAATGCTGGTGAAAGGGGGAAAAAAAAGACATCCTTCCCTGTCTAGTCCTGAGCCTGGGAGCACTGGTTCTCCCTTTCTGTCTGCCACAGTCACGGTTCTGATGGTCAAGACTAATAATGCGTGCACAGGGAGGTGGCATGATGCTTACCCTCCAGCAGATTGATACTGGAATTTTTAACTCACGATTATTTGGTGTAGAGCCCTTAAATTGATCTGTATCAGATCTGCAGTTGTTTTTATCAAGCCTGTAATTGTTTATAATGTTCATAGATCAGAAGATCTGTTAACTAGAATTATTAACCAAGTTTTGAATTAAGAACTCTGAGTTCCCTACTTGCCTGGAAAGAGCGTATTAAAAGAGGCTGCAGATGTCAGCAAAACAAAGCTGGTTTAATGCACTTGATAGTAGACAGTCTTATGCTTCACATCTTTGGGAAGATGTGTATTACAAGAGCAGTTCTGCTTTTCGCATGCACGCAAATTTGAATTTACATTATTCTTTAAGAGGCTGTGCTTTATTTCAAAGAAGCATGTGAGCAGTGGGGCTGAAAGGAAGGAAAAGAGGGGGCAAATTATGAAGCCATCCTAGAGAGAACAGAAGGTTCATAGTCAAATGGAAGTGTGTCCTAGCACTCTTCTATCTTGGTTAGCCCATTGAAGTCAGTGGAAGTCTTTTCCAGTTTCCCGAGTCTGCGCTGTCGAGGCACTTGTTCTATTGCAGGAGCAAAATGAATGTCATGTCTTATGTCCTGCTTTTCCCAAAATACATGCTCCCCTGTTAGTTGTCCTGTTGGGTGCTCCACAGCCCTCATGGTTGCGGGGCTAAGCTGCCAGCCTTGGGAGATGTCCCTGTGTTTGTGGGGAGCACAGGAGCAGAGCCAGAGGCTGCATTCTGGTGACAGGCTTTGTGCACGAGACAAACTGAGCCAGGTCATGTGTGGCAGTTCTGAGGCTTCCCCTGTTTTCCTTGTGTCTTTGTTTTTTGCAACATCATCTCTCTTATGGCAGCACCAGAATCATCACCCTGGCTTCCCCAAAAGCTTCTGCAACTGTCTGTCTCCTCTTTTGCTTCTGTTGACTGGTTTTAAATCCCATTAGCTGGCTGGAAGGCATCCCGGTGAGGTAACATCATGTGAGACACCAGAGTATCCATAGAGGAAAAAAACCTTACAAGTGTTCCAACCATGTCAAAGCTTCAGAGTTCACAAGAAGATGATTCAGTTCTGGAAAGAGTCACACCATTTTCATACTGTTGTTCACTTAACTACAGAACCAGGATGACGGAGACAGCTACTGGAGTGCATCTTGTGTGAAAAATTATTCTGGAATAGCATGCATTCAGCAGCATGTTTCATGACAATCTCTTGGGTGACAGTCCTATTCCAGAAACCTCTAGTGCAGCTTTTATTTGCAAAAATCTAGTGAAGATAAATGGCATATAATAAACCAAACTCTTCTGTCCCCACAACCTGTTAAGTCACAAAGAAGCATCCCTCCCAGCAATTCTGAGTCACAACCGCTTTTTGAGCCCATCTGCAAAGGAAGCCTCCTTATTCCGAAGTACTTGTGATCCTTCTAGAGCATGAAGTGGGAGAGAAAAGAGTTTGGGGGGCATAGCTAGTTAGGATTTTTTATTACATCTGTGTCAGCATTTCACTGAATGAGACTTGCACAAGCCAGGGAGGCAGTGGTGGGGAGGCAGAAGCCTTACTCCTTAGGGTGCAGCAAGACAGAGTGCTCCACACTTCTGGCTTGAAGGAAGGATGCTGCCTTATAAAAAGAAGAGCTTGCCCCACTTTATGGTATAAAATTATTACCTACAGATCATTTTGTCTGGATAACTTTTGCAGCATTTTATTTTCATCTCTGTCACAGCCACTAGAAATCCGACTTGTCAAAGATATTTGTAAACTGCAGTAACTTCTTGACTGGGTGATCAGCGCTAAAGACCTTGAAAAATTGGCAGAAGTTTTCACCCTGTGAAACGTTAAGATCAATAAAGCAAATTGATAAATACCATTTCATAGAATATGGGCTCTCGGATGAAATGCTCCAGCACAGAGCAGTAACAGATCATTCCAGGTGCGGAACATCATACTTTAAAAGCCATACAGTTAATGCTGTAAAAGGAAGGATTAGATGCGATGTGATTGATTCTTCTACCTTATGTCATAAGAAGTTGCTTCAGCTGTGTGGGGTTCTTGAGTACCTAAAGAAAGAGGTTACCAGAAAAAGTCAACCCTTAAATTGCAGACAAAGAGCTTCTACTACCAACAGTATTACATCATCAAAGTATTTCAGAGACACTCAGAAATAAGCTGTGCTTCTGTACGTCAGTGAAGCAGCAAATTGAATTCTCATAATATGTTTTGAAAATGAGTCTTGTTAGGTTTGATGAGGTGGAAAAGGTACTGAGATCACTGGTTTGTTCCAGTACGTTCAGTGCGCTTTCTTTGGATGCTTGCCATGGCTAATCTTTTTAATGGCAGTGTAGCTTGTAAACCCATTTGGTAGAAAGCTATATGTCTCAGTTTCAGAGCATCCCACCAAGTAGGGCGGTAAATAAGTTTCTCTTCAAGCATGCAAACCTTTTTGTTGCAATGCCAGAAATGCTTTCTTAACACACGTCAGAAAAACCTCAGTATTTCCTTTATGAATAAAGTGATGAGCAGAACAAAATGCGAATGTCATTTTAAATACACCCAACATACATGTGTAGATAATATGCATCAGCCTCATGATGTATTCATCAAGGATAAACTTCAGTTCATTCAGGACCAATATTCAAGAAACTGAGTCACAAATGCCCTGGATTTCCCCCAAACTTCTCTTTGGCTGCTTCCCCATGCCGTTTTGGAAATGGTCTGGGAAAAAAAGAGGGCCTTGCAGCATGCTGAGCCATCATCACATTCAAAGTTCTGTCATACTAAACATCTGGATAAACGAACGAAAGCTTTGGCTTTAGGCTCCCAGCAGTTGAACCGGAGGCTGCCACTTCAGGTCCTTTAGGTGATTTCAGCCTGTGGTTCACACAGGCATGTTGAGTTAGCTTACTTCTGACTGTTCTGTAGGTTAAATTAAACAGGTTCTGTTGCCTTTTAAAGGTAAGTTATAACACACTGGAGATCACATAGCACATTTACAGTGACCCCACAGCATAACTACCATTTAATCAGCTTCTATTCCAGATGCCTTTACGGAATAATTTGCATCTGTTAACACAGTTTCATGTAAAGGTACAGGACCTTATGTAGTCAGTATCATTGTCCTTAAACCTTATTCCCAATTCCTTGGCTCTGCAGAAATCCCCTGAAGAGCCTGCTTTTGTGTCATCCCTTCCCTTCTGTCAGGCTCAGAGAATCCATACAGGTGGGGGTTGTGTACAGCTGCAGAGATCCCAGTGCTCTGAACTATTTTCTGTTAAAACATTCCTGGATAGCCATCCTTGAGAGAACCCTGCAAAGAAATCCTGTGAGATGAACTTGTTTTTCCCCTAGGTTTCCTGTTTCATCTTCTCTTTATTTATTTTCCATGGTCACAGCCAGCAGCCTGCTCTGGGCTTGAGCTGTTGAAATGATTTTCATACTTTCATACAGGTAGTTTTCTGTCTTTAAACACTTTCACATGCAAAACTGCAAAGTAGGAGGGAAGAGTTCAGAGACTGTATGTGTCTTAATGTGTTGACCTGAAGAAGAGTGGTAGATATAAGAAGAGAAACAGAGAAAGAGCACATGAGAAAGAAAGGGGAAGGAGAAAAGAAGGATGATAAATTTGAGAAGAGTCTAAAAGAGCTGCTTTTTGCCAGTGACATCTTTTAATTAATGTGGTTGATTGAGCCAGAGGTTTTTGGCTGCTTCCAAGGAGTTGCTGATGGCTGTGATTGTGATTTGTTTGCAGTTACCCGTACAGTGAGGACTCCAGCCAGGGAAAGCAGTACATGAATACAAGATGTCCAGCCTGGTGTGACAGAATCCTGATGTCCCACTCAGCCAAGGAGCTCATTTTGAAAGTAAGTACAGACCTGCAGCCACACCGCGGCTCCACGTATGTTTACCTTCAGCAGAGGTGGGTAGGGCTGATACACTTCTGCTTGTTCCTGGATTTTCAGTTGCCTGTAGCAAACACCACGCTAAGACAGCTTACCATGGCAGTAATGAACCGTTATGCCTCCAGTGCCTCCCACCCAAGAATGCAGGTTTGTCCCAGTTGAACTGTTGGCAGTTACCAAAGCCCAAGGTGTCACAAACGCCTCTTGTGGTACATGAGCTGCCAGCGCTGGCTGCTGCGGTCTCTCCTGTGTGTGTCAGTGCTGCCCTGGGGTGCAGGCCGATGGGAAACCTGCCTCTTTTTAAACAAGAATAACAGAAAATAAAGCCCCATCAGTCCCCAGCCCACTGCACAGCAGCACGAGCAGCCCTTGCTGAGGCTTCAGCTCAGACGCAAACAGAAGCAGGAGTGGCTGCTGACTGAGGAGTAATACTACTGGAAGAAAAACCTGTGTGGCAACAGCTTGAGGGACCCGAGTTACGAGTGTGGTAGATTTAAGTTCCTTCTGTTGCTGATGGTGAGAACTGGATTTCCTAAGAGTATGTTAGTTCCTAGATAGGCCAAATCTCCTATCACTGTCCCCTGAATGAAGGCAGAGTCTCCAACAGGTAGGCTCCTAACCTTGGTACACTTATTAAGTGCCTCAATTTAGACATTCCACTGGAGCTTTAAAAATACCATTGTACAACATTTTTAGAACCTATAGTTCCCCTTGGGGTTTTAATTACAGCAGTAAGGTAAACCTGGTGATGTTCCACCCAGGGTTGATCTAGACAGAGGTCAGGAGCTTTCCAATTTTCCTTTTCCCTCATTTTCTCTCTCTCCTGCTTACTGCCCTCTGCTCTCTTCCTTTCCTTGGAAACACTGAACCAGGTCAGCAGTTACATGAGCCAGCTCACACTGCCTCTGATTTTCCTGTATGCTTGCCTGTGGTAGCTGGGGAGCCGTCCTGTTTATACTAGGTACCAGCTGTTGTAAAGGACCAAGAACACATCAGGAAATCATGTATGATATCAGGAGATCCCACCCAGGCCTTTCTGCCCTGAGCTAAGCTTTCCCTCCTGTTCCCAGCCTTGGCCACGAGCACAACAGAAGGGTGAATGTGCTGTGACTTGCAGTGTTGAGGTTATCCTGCTGACCAGACTATCTGACTGTCAGATACAGAACAGACTCGCCAAACCCGAAATTGCCGTGTGTCTGTCTGTATGTTGCTTTTATAAGTAATGCAGCTGAATGGGAGTGAATTGCAGAAAATCATCTTCTCAAAGAAATCTGTATTCTGTAGTTTCATGGCTTCTTTTTTCTTCTGTTTAGATTAACGGAACCCTTGAAACTTGCTCTCCTGAAGTTTATAACCTGTTTCTCTCTCTCATCAGGGTTATTTGTCTCATGATTAGACTGTTTGCTTTGCAGTATATAACTCACTGAAAGGCTGAGAAGATTTTTTCCATAGCTACTCAAATTTCCATTCAATGTTCTTCCTCACTTATTGTAATGTGTAAGAAGTGTCTGCAAGAGAGCTTGAAGCTTCACCCAGAACTTTAGACAATGCCTGTACTACAGGATTTAATTAAAATACCGTGGAGCTGAGAGGAACATAGGCTTTAAACAGTAATGTCAAAATCAGTGTTATCTGATCTTGTTGGACAGAAATATCCTATGAAAAAGTGAGACTTTACCCAAAATATCAAAACCTAGTACTTGGTGCCCATGAAATTCCTGAAGAACAAAGGTTTAAAACCATGGAAAGAGTGGCCAATGAGGGAAGTTTTTTTTTTTAAAGCTGTGAATAAGCAGATAGAAGTGTACACAAAGGCTTGAAGAGTGTAAACAGTACAGAGGGAAAGGAATTCTTTCAGATTATCTAGGGGGTATAACTTGGATATAATGGGAGAAAATTAAACAAAGGAAAGCCAAGTTAGAGCGTTACAGAAACGTGTAACTGTGAGGTCGCTCAGCCCAGTTCTCGGTCTCCATGGGCCAGAAGCCCAATGGTTGGATCCTTCAAAGTTACATTTAAAACGCACAGAATTTTGTCCCTGCGTTTGCAAATTCCGAGCCCGCAGTGTGGGACATCTCCAGAAGCGCGTACACAAGGTTGCAGCTGGGCATGAGGCCGCACAGCACAGTGGCTTCCCTCAGGGAGTTTGTACAGAGAAAGGAGCCAGCTTACCCAGCTCAAAACCAGGCTGCAAGTCTGGCCCATAAAGCTTAATGGAAATATTTAGTAGAAAAGAATGCTGAAGTGATAGAGGAAAGGGCAAAATGACCTTACAGGTTTCTGTGGTTCTGCACAGCAAGCACTATTTGCCTTGCCTTTGAGAATTTACTCCATTGCAGAGGCTTTGGAGCTTTAAAAGGAACTGCGAAGAAAGTAAAAGCAGATTTTAATTAACTCGTTACACTATGACATATCCTTCAAACACAAATATATATGAAATTGTAAAGAATTTCTGGCTGTAGCTAGGTATTGAATATTCTGAGGCAGGTAATTATTTTGCTGTATTCATTTTTCTTATAGGCAAATAAAGAATTTATTTTTCTCACTTTGCAATTCTATATTTTATTTAAAACAAAACTCTGGTAAATCTGCATTTTAATCCCATGTAAAGAAAGGACAGGGTGCACAAATTGCCACACTGTACAGTGTGCTCAGCTCCACAGTAGGCATTACAGATTGTACAGACATGGGCTGTAAACAGCTTTCATGCAACATCATCTATCATGCCATGGTCGGTTACCTCACCATCATGTTATTTTATGCTTCCTGAGCCCTAAAACACCAAAGGTTGCCCACTGCTAGGGAGCTGCCTTGATGCCTGATAGCATGAAGTAATGAATGCTCAGCCAAGTGTATATTGTTTCTGCTTGTGCACCGCTGTAATTTGTTTATCTGTCTAAAGATTATGCAGTTGAAAATCCACAATTTTATGCTGCCTTTGTAAATTATCAAGTCACTTTTGATGAATGTATCCCCACTTCCGATGCTGGTGGCATTATGATCTTGAAATATTGGAAAGTGCTCATGCATACAATGCAGAAGGTTATGTTTTTATATTTTTGGCAGACAACCATGCTATAAAGTAAATCTGACCTTAAGCTTCCTTACTGCATTAAAGATAATTCAGTTTTAACTTTATAGTCCTAAATGCTACTGTTTATATAAAGTTAATGCCCAGTAAACTTGACTGATTACAGATGAGAAAGTCTTGACTGTTTCGTACAAAATAAATTAGTATTGCCAACTGCTTTAAAGCACATCTATGATTGTATTAGACTTGGGAGTGTGCAGATCGCAGGTTTAATTAGCTCATAGGAATTGTTCAGCATAAGAAATCGTCTTGTATGGCAGTGGTTTTGTATTTATTCCTGAAGTATTGTGCTTGAGAATCAAAACAGATTCTCAAAATGACATTTATTGCAAGTGACAGAAAGATGAGTACGTTTTATTATTCGTTAAGTTACAAATCCTAAAGAAGTCAGTGCATAAGGATAGAGTTCAACATGGAACAAAATGAAAGTGATTCATAATGGAGTCTGGAGGAATGTCATCTTTCACTTCCTGGTTTTCTTAAAGTTGATAGTTTTTTTCAGAAGAAGAAATATGTCTCATAGAAAGGTTAAAGTTTATACTCATAAACTGTAAATTCATTCCCTTCTCCAAACATTTAAAATCACCTATATGGTGAAATCAGATGCTCTTAGAAGGCAATGTGGATTGCATTTAATTTGAAGAACAGCATCTATCGCACCTCATTCAGTAAAAATTGTGTGCTGCTCTTAAAAAAGGACTGGCCAAATGCACTGACTGCATGTCCCTGGCAGAAGGCTGGATGCATCATACCCAAGCCATTCATTTCACCCACCCAATTGTTAAAATGTCTTGAGGTCCCAGTGGCAAGGAGTAGGTGCAGTGATTTTGTCAGTTATTTTGCATGGACAAATTACACAAATGACTGCAAACAGCACTGGACATAAAAGCTCATTCTACGTGGTCTTTCTCTGGAGAAGCCAAATGAAGATGTGTTTATGTTGCTTTGCTCAGAAGCTGGTTTGAACTATTTGCATAAATCATTTCTGTGTTTCTTTCTGTGTGTGTAATGCAGAGAATGCCTGCACTGACCAGGGGTTTGTTGTGTTTCTTTTTCTTTTAACTAGTCAGAAAATGATGAGAAGATAGTAATATATGACCACATTGGGCCTAATGTCTGCATGGGGGATCACAAGGTAAATAAGCCAAACATTTAGACTGTATCTCCTAAGTCTTTCTCATGAGGACGAAGAATGTGTGCAGTAGTTTCTGTTAACTCTATGTTTAAGTCAACTATATCTCTCTCCTATTTTCAATTTAAAGACTTGAAAATGTTTTAAAGTTGAATTCAACTGAAAGCAGACAGTATATTAGAGTAGGCACTTGTATGAAATAAAATAAAGAACAGGATGATGGGCTCTAGGCTGGAAGTGTGGCACAATACAAAATGAAGAGGAGCAGCAGCTGTCTGTGCGCTTACGACTCTTGCTGTAAAACAGAAGTAGCTTGATTGTAGTTGAAAACCCACTTTTTACTAGGTTATTAAAAAAGCTTCCAAGGCATAGATTCCATGAAGTTGGTGCCTCGCTGCTCGTTAGTAAAACAACATATTGGCAGCGCCAAGACAGAATTTTACAACCTTCTCTGCTGCAGATAGCAGGTGGGAAGCACAGTCAGGAATCCAGCCAAACTGAGTGTTTGCTCTCTTTGAAAAAAGCTGATCAAGGAGGAGGAGGAAAGCTCTGAAAGCCCAGAGTAAAACAATACAAGACCTATAAAAACTCATGTAGAAACTTGTAAACTATATGATAGTGGTAATGCGTCAGACAGCACTAAGCCTCTTGAGTGTTAATTCAGTGATGGATAGTGGGTAACCACATGTGTATGCATGCATCCAAATTCACAAATACATGCCTGTATTTACTTTCATGGTCAAGAGTTCTTGTGAGACAGTGGTGTCGTTCTAAGGAAGAATGTGCTTAAGGTATTTGTCCAGATATACCCAAGTCGGGTTTTAAACTACAGCAGTTTACTCACTGCTACGGTGAGATGGGAAGCTCAGCGTGTCAGCAGCTGCAGGGCAGCCAGCTCACAACCAGAAATCTCTTTCCCTTGTCACTGGTGTACCTAACGCAGATCTTTTTAGCATGCAGTTGCAGCAGAGCACTGATGCAATCAGTGATAAGGGGGAGCTGTGTCTAAAACCAGAGCCTCTTTCTGTGGAAATCAGGGGCAAATTTCCCCTTAGACTTCAAGGGGAGCAGAGATCTGTAGGAAGATGATGGAGTTCTCCTGTGCATTTTGTAGCTAGATTAATCAGAAAAATGCTTGCACTGTTTTGTTCCCAGTCTTAGAGGAATTTTTGTTGTGTTTACTGCTGACTGTGAAAACATAATGGTTCCATTTCAAACATGTAACTTCTATTTTTCCCTGACTTGCTGCAGCCTGTGTTCCTGTCCTTTCGAATAGCTGCTGGGGCAGGTAAACCTATTGCAAATGTGCACAAGTGTTGTGTCGTGCAGTGATGTGGTGGTAAATATCATTTTTTTTCCTCTACGTTTATATTCTCTACAACATTTCCCCTGTGTTTATTTTTCTTTTTAAAAACCTGCCAATTCTGCAACAGGAAAAAGATGCCAACGGAACGAGAAGATTTTCCGTGAAGCCAGCCTGTAGCAGGAGGGAAGGAGCACACCACGAACAGAAACACTTAATCCTAACAGCTGTATTGATAAATCAAGTCCCGAGTGCCACATTTTTAGACTGCTGATCGTACACTATGCTTCAGCATCTGGACTCTGTTTGAGAAAAGCCTCACATACCTCACTGTCTTGTATGTTCATGTGACATCAAGTAGAAACGTGGAATTATTTTTTATATATATGTCACGATTCTGTTGCCAAAACTCTAAATAGACAGCAGAGATGTTCTGTATTTTAGATTTCACGACTTTCAACTTTTAGTAAGTGTTTGTCAATGTGGAAAAGCATATTATGAACTTCTAAAGGTGTCATGCCTAACATTATATATCTTTACCACTTTGGGGTTTTGTACATTGGATTGTATAGATAGAGCTATCGATGGTTTTAAATGGTATTTTCTTTGTTGACCAAGGTTTATGGTTTGTGTTTTTAGTTTTAGTATTTTGGTTTTCATTTTTATAATTTTTTTTCTCATGTTATTTACTATACTGCCATGTTACATGGTTTTTGAATCACACAGCAGCTGCTTTCTATACATACATATATGTGTGTGTATATATATGTATGTATGTGTATATATACACAGATATATAAATAATTTATAAACCTGACCAAAACTTATGCTAAATATACTTTCCAATATGAATGCTTGAGAGTGCCATATCAGCAGTTAGTGCCCGAGTCCTAGCAGGTTTAGTTAAGTGTACATCAACAGCCAACATTTATATAATAAATAATATATAGCAGTGCCATCCTGGATACAGATATATATAGCATACTATATAGCACATATATTAGCAGTTTCACTTTGTTACTCCTATAATCCCTTCTTTCTATGTAATATTAAGGATTGAATGTGAAGTTCTTAGCTAGGTTTGGGTGTAACTTTCCAGAATTTTGTAAACTGGTTTTGTCTGTCTTTTGTTACTGTTTATGGTGCCAAGTATTCTATATTGAAATAATAACAACACGGGAGAAGAGAATGATAGTCTGCTTCAGGTAGCAGCTGTATTGGACACAGACTGTATTTATACAGTGTTAAAAGAAGAAAAAAAAAAAACAACTGTAAATTTTCCTGGTTAGTAGCTCGGTGCAGCTATAATATAACCTCGTTACGAACATTTTTCTCCCACCACTAAATAAAACATTAAAAGGTAATTAGGGAGTCTGTTGATGAAACACAAATGTATGTTTTATTGATTTAATTTAGAACACTACAGAGTTCATGGACTGCGTGATGGCATTAGATTGATGCTTGATTTTGGTATAAATCACTACCATTGAAAATGATTTGATGTCTGCTTGCAGAGTGTGTTCTCAGCAGTACAAGCTGGGTTTCTGTTAAGTGCTGTTGCCCAGCGGGTGTTGCAGCTCTGTATCGTCGTTGTGCCATGTTGCATTATAACCACACAGTAATTCTATTTAAGCAAACTCAACTCATAACTTCGAAGGCCTTTAGAAACGAGTACTCTGGTTCTCAAGCAATAAAACTAATCATGGTGAATGCGGTTGTATCTGTCCCTTTAATTTGAGCATTGGGGACTACAGGGAAATTATTTAATTGTCACATATCTTATTAATGAGTTACCTTTTAATCTCCTGCCAGTTAACGGGGTATTTCTCAGATGGGAACCCGTGTTGCAGAATGCAGCTCGCAGAGTTAACCAAAACACAAGACAAACCGAGGAAAAGACGTTTTGGAGTTTGCGTTGGAGTGCTAATGCACGGGGAGTTACGTGACTGTGAGCTGTTCAGGAGATGCCAGCGCGCAGCAGCAAGATGAATTTGCCACCGTGAGCTCCTTCCTGACTACCCCCGGGTGCAGAAAACCCGCTGCCTGGTCAAGCTCGTGATGGAGCCTCGTTCACTCGCCGCAGCCGTAGAGCGGGAGGCTGTGAATGCGGACCCCGCCGGGCTGCAGGCGCAGGGCAGCGGTGACCGGTCACAGTAACTCGACGAGTCTTAAACTGAGCCCGCAGGAACTCGTAAAACGCAGCTTCGGCGCTGAGCGACGCCCGAGCGGGGCCGTTACCGGCAGCGCTCCCGCCCGCAGCTGGGGGATCCGGCCCCAAGACCGCTGTCGGTCTCTGCGCAGCGCCAGGGCCCCGCTCCGCGAAGCACCGAGCGGTCATCCCCGAGCGCAGGTGCTGGGGCTCCGCGGGCCGCTTTAACTGCGCTCCCAGGCAGGCAGAGAGCCGCAGGTGTGAATGATCCGACTTGCAGATGCGGGTGGGCTTCATTTGGTCGTTTCTCCTTAGGAGCCGCAAGGCCGGCTCCGGTTCATCGCTGCGGCGGCAGCGGTCAGCGGCCTGTCTCGGAGTGCTCAGAGCCCAAGAGCAGTTTATAAACTTGATCTGCTCCGTCTGTAACCGCGGTGCAGCTCGAGCGAGGTCCCGGCAGGCCCTGCTCTCAGTGAGTAATGACTTGCAGGACCCCCAGTCCCGTCCCCCGAACCGAGGAGCTGCCCGGGTCCGAGGGAAATAAATAGGACTAGCGAGACCAGCGGCCTGGGGGGAGCGGCACAGGCGGGCCGGGGGTCCCGGCGGGGGGAGGCGCCGATCAGAGCCTTTGCTGCCCTTCCTCTTAGCGAGATTTGTCCCGAGGCAGGCCGGGGCCGCCGCTCCGCAGCTGCGGGGAGGGAGCATAGCCGCGCGGGGCCGCGGACCCCGTGCAGCCACCGGGGAGCAGCGGCGGTGGGCAGCGGGGCCGCAGCTCTCGGTTCCCGTCGGGCTGGCGGGCAGAGGCCGCAGCCGCCCACGGTCAGGGAGCCCGGGAGCGCAAATCCGGCCCAGTGCTGTGGAAGACGGCTGCGGGCAGCACCGGGACTCGTAACCGCCCCGCGGTGCCGGAGCGTGTCACGGCCGCCCCCAGGGGCGCTGTCCTCCGCCGGTGGAACGCGGCCGGCCCGCGGAGTGGCCGTTGCTTTTGTTCAGGCTGCGAAGCAGTAGCTGGGAGGCGGAAGGAACAGAATGGCTCATTCATTAAATTAAGTAAACGGCTAAAAGGCAGCGCGGTTAGCGGCTGGCACCCGCTGCGCTTCCGACGTGCCCGGGCAGCTGCGTGGCAGCTCGACGGCTGCTCCGTTACCTGGGTCTCGTTATGGGCAGGTCGTGACCCCGCCGGTAGGTGCAGGGCCGCCAGTGCCGGGTGCGGGCCGGGGGCTCGCGAGGTCGCTGTTTACGGACCCCGCCGCCAGGTCGGTGTGTTCACCTCCCGGCTTTTTGCAGCGGCCGATAGACGGACAGCCCGGTGGGACGCGTCCCCTCCACGGAGCACAGCGCATCGCCTGCCGGCGGGCACCAAAACGGTTTCGGTGCTGGGAACCGGCGCTGCCACGGCCCCTGCCCACGGCAGGTTCGGGACTGCACGTTCAGTCCCGTGTATCTTCTTTCCGGGGGTGTTCGGGGGGTCCCAGGTCCGAGTTCCCTTGAGGCAGTGCCCGGCTCAGCCCAGCGACCTCAGCGCGTCCTCGTCCCCTCGCGGAGCGGCGGGGCCGGGCACCCAGCTCCGGGCGGGGTGGCGGTACCGATGTGAGCGACCGGCCGTGCGCGGGAGCGCCCAACCACGGCCCCACCACGGCGGAGGAGCAGGGGAACGCCGGGCGAGGGCAGCGAAGGGCAGGTCAGAGCCCCCAGGCGAGGGAGCGAAGGCCAGAAACCGCGCGGCCCCGCGCTCCCAGAGCCTCCGCCCCTCGGCCCCATAGCCCAAACGGAGGTAATGCGGGAAAAAGCAGGCTAAAGCAGAAGCTTGTTAAATAATTTATTGATTTATACAAAGTCTTTCCAACCCGCGTGGAGACATTATTTGATCCCAATGTAAAATCAAGTGTCCATTTTCCTCTAGTGCTTTTTTGGGTCGTTTTCTCTCTTTTGATATTATTAAGCATAAAATCCGGAGGCAGGAGAAACCAAACCGCCAAAACACATAGTAGAGGGAGGGATTGAAAGAAAACAGCCATTTTTTACACTAGAAATATACAGCACAAAATCTGAAATTTATACAAAGTGGCTGAGCTTGGATTTGGCGACCCATAGAAAACGTAACAAAATCTGATTGTTAGGAGAAGGAAATCTGCAAGACGGTGAAAAGAAAGAGGAGCAAACCTCAACGGGACACGAAACAAAACCCCAAAACGCTGGAAAAATTCCTTTGAAATTTACACCGATGAGAGAGAAAATAATTTCATAACTTATTCTGTAAAAAATATATACATCTCACATACATCTTGGGCTGTACAACACCCCTCTCTGCCATGCCGCCGGGGCCCTCACAAGGTATCCGAGCTGGTGCTGCAGGGGCTCACCAGGGACAGGGCCGTGGGTTTGTGCTTCTTCAGTAGCCGCGTGATTTTTTCGTCGTCGGAGTTGGGGTCGAGGGGCTTGTTGTACTCCTCATCGTCCTCATTGTCCGAGCTCTCCTTCAGCTTCTCCGTCTCTGAGTCGTGCTTCTTCTTCGCCGAGGCCATTTCCGCCGCGTGCCGCTTCCGCCACTTGGTCCGTCTGTTCTGGAACCAGACCTGGGCACCGGCACCGGCACCGGGCACGGCTCAGTCCCGCCGCCCCGGGACCCGACACCCTCCCCCGTGCCGGGCTGCCCCGTCCCGCCGCGGCGACACCACCGGAAGGTGACGCGCTGGGGACACCAACACCCCCACCCCGGTGACCACCCCGCGGACGTCCCCAGCCGGGGCCGTGCAATGGTAAAAGCGGAGGTTTCAGTGGAAAACGAGATACGGTGGCCAGAAAAATAAGTTTTTTTTGGGTGCCCAGCGCATCTCAACGGGTCGGGGCGCCTCAAGTCGTTGCCAAATAATTGCGTGGTTATGCAAAGGGAAGCCGTGCCGACTGCTGGATAGCATCTGCCCTGAAAACTCACCCGTGGGAAGCAGTTACCTGCCCGGCTTTTTGGGGAGGGGTTTGGGTTATTTTTGAGGGTTTGGTGGGGGTATCTATTTAGGGTTTATTTGTTTAGGGTTTCTTTTTTCGTTTGTTCGTTTTGTTGTTTTTTTTATGTTTGTGGGTTTGATTTTATTTTTTCTGTGTGTTCGTTGGGTTTGGTTTTGGGTTTTGTTTTCCGCCTCTGGTTTTGGTTTTTATTGGTTCGTTTGTTTGGGGGTTTCTGATATATATAATTTTCTATATCGCTTGCAACACAAAGCACTCTAAGGACCGAATAGGTTATGTAGAACTTGGGCTAAAATCCTTATCCAATATCCAAACGTAATTTAAATTACAGATGACTTTAAAACAAACGAGCCGCGCGGCTGCGGTTCTCCTGGTCGGTGACAATCGCTGCAGAAGCCAGGAGCTGCCGCGCTGCCCCGGCGTCTGCAGAAGGATCCCGGGCCCGCCCCGGCGCGCCTGCGGGACCTACCTTCACCTGGCTCTCGGTCATCCCGAGGGAATAGGCGAGGCGGGCCCTCTCCGGTCCGGCCAAGTACTTCGTCTGTTCGAAGGTTTTCTCCAAAGCAAAAATCTGCTGCCCGGAGAAAGTCGGGCGCGAGTGTTTCTTCTTGCCGTCCTTGTCCAAAACCATCCCCGCCTGAGCTGAAAGCGGAGGAGAAACGGCTCTGTCAGAGCCCGGGTCTGCACCGGTCCCAGCCCGGGGCCCGGTCTGCGGCGAGGCTGCCTCGGGCGAGGCTGGCTCCGAGCAGGATTCGGTGCAGGGAAGTCCCGGATCGCGGCGGCCGCCCCGTCCACCGCGCCCGCCCGCCCCGGGCCGCGCCCCCCGCTGGAACCGGGCGCACTTACCGGGACAGGCGAGGCGGGGGTCTCTCCAGGGAGAGCCCTGCACCACTCCCGGCCAGAAGATGGGCGGCCGCCCCGGCAGCTCCGCTAGCGGCTTCGGATAGCGGGAGACTGCGGCGGGGTTGAAGTACATCCCCGCCGAGGCCGCCAGCCCGTTGATGCGGGGCAGCCCGCCCAGCAGGTTGCTGGCGGAGCCCACGGGCCTCCCCAGGATGTCGCTTATTCCGTGCGGCGTCCCCAAGGGGAGCTGCGTGTTGAGCCCGCCCAGGGCCGGCGCCTTGAAGCCGGAGGGGTTCTGCAGGGCGTAGGGGAAGAGGGAGGTCTTCATCTCGGCCATGTTGTGCAGCGCGGCCAGCGGCGTACTGCTGAGGACGAACGCGCTCTGGCGATTAGCATCCATCTGCCCCACCGCTAACATTGGTGATCATCAGAGAGCGCAGGCCCGTCTCCAACGGCGCCGGCAGCTGCAGCCCCGAGTCCCCGCGCTGGCGGGACAGTCCCTCTTCTGCTGGCAGTATGGAAGCAGCCGCAAGTACCAAAGTTTGCCGGCAGCAGGGGAACAGCGGCGCAGCTCCGCCCGCCCCCTCCGCTCGGCGACGCGCACCACGAACGTCCAGGCTGGAGAGTGGCGAAAGCCAAGTCGGGGCCGCGCAGCCACCCGGCAGAGGTAGGAGTCCCGGGGAAAGGAGCCCCCCGCCGGCGGAGCGTCCCGGCCGGCTGCGGCTGCTGCCCCGGGCCGGGGATCGAGAAGGAGAAC